TTTTTGAGAAATGAAAAAGGAAGGCGATCGACTCTGATTTTACAAACCTCCACATCTCCAAATTTTTCGCATATATTTTTATAAGTTTGTGTGTGTGTGTTTTTTTTATTCCTATATTTTTATGTTTTCGATTATCCTTTGCGATTTTTTTTTTCTTGGGCGAGATAAATAAGGAAATCGGTTGAAGTATCGATTTCCTTAAAAAAAGAACTCAATCAATAATAACAAAAAGATTTATGTTTTTATTACAAATTTTCTATTTATATTTTTTCTATAAACACAAATCACTGGGGAAATTAGTGTTTGTCGAATAAACTATATATTGTTGGATGCCTAATGTTATATGAATTGATTTGTACTTGATTAGTATTTTTTTCTTGCTCTCTTGTTGTCACTGTCATGCAGTTTATTTGGGACTGCACGTTTTACGCCATTATTTGTCCTCATACTTGTTTTTTATGTTGTTGCAAAATCTTGCAATTGGTATATCGTGTGTATTTATCTAAACAACATCCTCTGCATATAAATAGTAGACAGTAATTGTTGAGTGTTTTTAAAATTGAAGAGCATAATATGTTGTACGTGAAACATAATTCTTGATAGAAAATACTAATAGAAAAAGCCGCCAATTAAAAAAATTGTATTAGCCGGTTTGGTGTTAAAAAAATTTTAAATTGTTTGAAAATACTAACGTAATTTTTATATTATTTTATCACAAAAAAAGCTGGAATTGTGGTACACGATTTTCTGTTAAAAAAAGTTTTTTTAAATTGTGAAAATGAAGATGTAACAGTACGATCATGCACAAATAAAAAAATTAACAAACTCCAGTTTTAATGGCAGCATTAAAACTTGCTATTATTAGTATGTAACTAATGCTAAAAGTATTTGACCAGAATTTAACCTGCCATGTTTAAAAAATAGTAATTCTTATTATATATAGACATATAAATTTAACTGGGTTTAGATAATCTTATGAACTCTTCTCCGTCGCACTTACCAATTTGATTACAAAAATTGAGATATGATCCATTTATCAAAATGGATACAAAATCTAGCTATATGATATTTGATGGACTTTTAAAATCACTTGATTTTTTATTTTTTTTTTCGAACAATAAAAAATATATTAAACTCAAACCAAGTTCAACCGAACATCAACTGAGTTCAAACTAACCATTCTAGCAAGCTAGAAAAGAAAGAAACGGGCATACACCAATAGTAAGCCCTAAAACACCGCACAGAGTGAAACACACCAAGTTTAACTAAGAAGAAGCAATAAAGTGACATGAATCAAAGGCATTATACAATTACATAATATCATACATCACTCCAGACAAAGAAGAGTTGAGGTCCCTGTATGAAAGAAGAGAAAATGATAAAAAGCCATCATTTCTGTACAAGGAGACAAAATGTTACATTTTACGAGGAGCCTTTTCTA